CCGCCCGCGCCGGCTAGGGGACGCGGCGGTCCTGCGCCATGGCCTCTCGGCGGCTCACGGATCGGCGAGTCTGTCCCCACTGCGGTTTTTCAGCGGGCGGCTCAGACCCGGGAGCCTGAAGGCAGGCTCCGCGATCGGTCCTGAGCCTCTTTGCAGACGAAGTGTTCCGGTCGCGGAACGCTGCCTTCTTGGCTCCCATCCTAGACTCCCCTATTCACGTACCCGGAACAAAGCCACAGGCGTCCCCTGGCCCTGGAGGCCGCACCGGGAACAGCCCCGCGGCCCCCGGCTCAGTGGCAGGTTTCACAGACTCCCGGACTCTGACGCAACACGCCAGGCGGGAGGTGGGCATTCCTCGCCCCGCGTGGTCTGTGCCCTCCCTCACTGGCCCCTGGCCCCACACCCCACGTGCCGGTCTCGGGTGTGCACTTCTGCTCTCGCGCAGATTCGTCTCTGCCGCTTGGAGGTGTCTGTGAAAGAGGAAGTCTGCAGAAGTGCAGAGTGCTGCCTGGCGTTGCTCCTAAGCTTGAGGCTTGTCAGTGTGGAGATGTCGGTCTGCCGTCTGGCTGTGAACGGCGAAGTGCAACCACAAGGCTCAGTTTCGAGTATGTGAGGAATGGGAGGGGGTGACGTTACCCCGAGTCTGGCAGTTGGTTGAGCTTTACGGAAACCGCGGGGAGGCCAGGTCACGCCGGGTCTGGTACCATGATACAGCATGAAATCACAGAACTTTCAGTTGCTTATTTTTAAGACTTATAACACACTGTAAAAGAAGCCCCTCCTCTAAATCTAAACCTGAAGATTTGTCATTAAAGTCAAACCTGAAGAGACAAAAAGAATGTATTTACAGTGTCTGGGCTCTCTGCCACTAGTTTCACTATAAACATGTTAAGTGTCCATTTACAGGATGGCTATCCCAAGGGCATTCCAAAAACTGGAAGTTGAAAAATTCAGTAGATTGAGCTCTTTGAGGTTCTTCTGATGAAAAACGGAGGGCAGGGACATGATACATGTTTCCTTCAAAAACCTAACAGTATTAGTTGGGGGAGAGGGGAAGGAAGGAGTAAGGGTATGACATTAAAAAGTTCAGTATCTTCCGTTTTAAAACAGGGCTCTCCCAGGTGGCACAAGGGGTTAAAGCACCGCATTATGAAGCTCTCCGAAGCCACTGCAGCACCAGTTCAATACCTAGCCAGGGAGCTGGCCCACATGGCGTGGCAGGCCTCTCCTGACCTGCCCGCTGCTCCCATCAGCAGTGTATTTTGTCAATATGCCTGTTCTGCTCCCCACTCTGTCTCTGGTGAATCCTCTCACCCACCACACCTCTGGCCTGTACCCCAGTTCTGTAAGCATTAATAAATCTAAAAAAAAAAAAAAAAGCAAAACAAATGCCAAGAGGTTATATAAAAAATGTTGGGTTGGGCCCTCCCTGGTGGTGCAGTGGGTAAAAGCACTGCACTGAGAAGCTAAAGCCACTTCTGCATGAGTTCGAATCCCGCCTGCCCCGGAGGTGACCACATGGTGTGGCAGATCTCTCCTGACCCGCCCGCTGCTTCCCTCAGCAGTGTACTTCGTGGATCTGCCTGTTCTGCTCCAAACTCTGTCTCTGGTGAAGCCTCTCACCACCCCTGAGCCTCTGGCCTGTACCCCAGTTCTGTATGTACAAATAAATAAATCTTTAAAAAAAAATGTTGGGTTAAGTTTCAAGTGAGTCTAAGATCTAAACTTCTAATTGCAGTAATGATGTGCATTCAGTATGCATCTTACTCAACGAATTTACCTTGTAATTGATCTCTATGGGCAACTGAGATTGAATCACAGTGACTGTTCTTTTATTCAAAATGGCTTTGACCTTTGCTTTCCCCAGTAGCCTCCTTGGTCCTTCTCCACTTCTATCCCACACATTTTTTCTCAGCTTTTAGTATAAAAAGCTGAATTTTGGTTGTTGGTGCAGAAGGAGTGCCAGCATTTTCTCTAAGGTAGAAAAAACTTTATCAAAACTTTTCCTACTCATTACATCCTGTTTATTTCTACAAATAATTGAGGGACGATTTTCTACTCCATTTTGTAAATTCAGTCACTGAAGTAACAAAAATCAAATTTCTTTTGCCTGAATGGATTGATCAGCCATTTCAGACATCTCATTTCAAGGGCACAGGGGCAGGTGCCAAGGCTCTCTTCCTTGGACCCAGGTCAGCTGTGTACTTCCTCCCAACCTAGAGTTACAATACTAGAACTGAGCCCTCTGCCAGTCAGCAAGGTGTTCTGTTTCCTCTGGGATTTGGCTTCCATGTCCACCCCAATAATGAAGACAGGAAACAGGAAATAGTATAAGCATCCAACTGAAAAGAAAAAAGGATTCCCAATATTCAGCTCTATAGTTGCTCCCTGTACTTTTGCTGACACTTTTATTAGTTCCTTCCTCTGCCTCCCAACTCCTCAGAAAACTACTCACGCGGAAAACATACTTAGTGAACACTATGTACCAAAGAGCATGAGCTTTGGCTTGCCTCTGGGGCATCATTCCAGGCAGGTTTCATCACCACCCTATCCAAGAGTCTCTCAAGCTTCTGTCTTCCCTCTTCCCCTTTGACTCTTTCAGGCAAGATATACCCTGGCAGAGCTCCGCCAGATCTTGATACTGACTCCCCCATGGTGCATTTGGAGGCAAATCTGTATGTTTACTGGAGTAAGGAGGATCAGAAAATCGCGATGTACCTGAGATGGAATTATGTAGACAACAGAAAGTGGAAGGGACGCTGTTAAAGTATTTTTAGATAAAGATGATAACCTTTACTTGTCCCTTAAGATGATCAAGGCCCTGTATGACTGTATTTGCAGTGTTTAAACCATAGGTACAGTAAAGTCTGATTCCTCATTTACCAATTGTGTGACCTTGGGCTGTTAATTAACCATTGCGCCTCAGTTCCTCATTCATAAAATGACAATAATACCTTGTAGGATCGTTGAAAGGATTTGGGTTAAATGATTCAAATCTAAAGCATTTAGGTTTTGTACATTAGGAGGGAAAACTTTTCAAAATAATGTTGTCCAGGCTCTGTCTTGTACCAAATGAATTGGAATCTTGTAGGGTA